CAAATAATATATCACAATGCATAATTAAAATAAATCAGTTATGCCGCAGCAGAGCGGCCGGCCGAACCGCAAAAATTTTGAAATGCTCTCTACGGTGCCGGTAATTCGAATTTCAAGCAAAATTTGATAGAGCGTCAGCTGCTGATCATGAAAATCTACTTTTTAGCCTTAGCAAATGCTTTTTTCCTGTCAAAAAATACGAAATACTCAAAAGGTATCGTTTTCTTCAAAAAACATATCTTTTTCAAATGTGCAAAATCTTCTACTTTGTACCGTTTTTCAGATTCAGCATCAAAAACTGAATACAGACAAGTTGTTAAATTGATTCTAGATTCACAACTCTATTAACCCTTTCGCTACGGGTGTCCCATATATGGGACGGTGATATTTTTCCTATGATATGGAAGTTTTACACTAAAAGTGCGTCTTTCCTACAAAAATTCTAACGTCCCCAGGCTCCCTCCTTATAATAGAAAGAGCTCTTTAGATACAAATATCAAATTGTACTTCAAGTACAATTTGATGCCTGTATCTAAGAAAAAATGTCACCGTCCCATATATGGCACACCCGTAGCGAAAGGGTTAACAGTGGCGCTTCAAATTGTGTCGAGTGCACCACATATAGGTCGATTTTCTAAACCTATCTAGTGTTTCTACGTAAGTGATGAAGTGAAATATTTTGTCTTTTTGAGGGTGTGGGTGTGAGTATGTTTCTCACCAACACCCCACACCCAAACACCCACACCCACACCCACATCCTCAAATTTGCATCGATTATTCACCAGTGATGTGAATACAACTCGTAGTTTATTGAAAAGAAAAATGTTGTTTTTTTAATAGTAAATGTTTCTTTCAGATTATCATTATCAAATATAGATAATAGAGGCAAAATCACTGCGAGCTTTGTTGAATTGATTTTCCATCTCACTTGTCCATCCAAAAGCTATTATAGCTTGATTTTTCATATTTGTACCAGCAGCACCACTTGAGAAATGAATAAATTCTCCCCAGTTCATTGAACGAGCGTAATGATTCGTTCCAGGATGTTTGGGGAAATACTGTGCTAGAAGTCTGAAAAAATTGACCAAAGTTTTTGTTTCACCACCTCGTGTGTACCAAGGATAGAGCCAATCTCGGAACCAATATGTATTTGGTCTTGGAAAATTGTCTGAATTAGCCAGCGATAAACTTTTAGCTCTTTCTGCTTCAGCAGTCAAACCTAAGCCTTTGTACAAATCATAGCCGAATATTTCGGCCATTTTACTATCTCCCCAAATACCGTTTGGCGGGTTACCAAAACCGGGGCTTCCTTGAGTGTTAAATGAAGCCATTTCAACGATATGAAAGATTTCATGTGTAGGTATATCCATACTTCCCAATTGCTCAAACCAAGGTCCAGCACCTTGATCGATTACATTCTTAAAGTCATGACTCGCAGAATAATAGTAAGATGGATGACCTCCACTATATTTCCCAGTATGAAATATAGCATAAAGTCTTCCATCAGGACCGAAACTGCCATAATTTCTTTTAACATAACGCCATGCATCACTAAGATATCTTGAAATATATGGAACTGTTGAATGAGCAACATCGTCATCATAGTAAAGTGCTAAATCATTGTCGTAATATACCCTTGTTAACAGCTGATTATGTTCAAACCAATGCTCCTTCCATGTTGCACCGACGACATCATCTTTGGAATTTAAGAATAAAATCATTAAAACATTTCTACAAAAGTTCGAATAGCTATGGCTATTTTTGTCGTTTAAAATATGTTAATAGTGGTGCTACGCGCTGCTGTAAATTCCCTTTCACAGGTATTAATATAGATTAACAGCTTTCTTGACCTTTCAACTTTATGTTCTTGGAGAAAATTTTTCGCAGGGTACCAGAAGAAAACATAATCATCCGATAGATCAAATAAAAAGCGCAAGCATTCATTTTTAGCCGTTTCCTGTCGGTGACGGGAATTTTTGCAACAAGAAAGCAGGATTTTCGGACACGTCCTGTGCAAATTCATCGTCAAAAAACCTATCGCAAGAAAGTTGTCCAGAGTTTTGTCCTGTCTCAAATGTTTTCTAAATCATTTATTACGTTTTATTGGAACAATCATGTTAATTACGTCTCTGCTGCCAATAACACGGTACTTTGTGACATAGAATTGACACACTTACCATCGAATCCAGAAATTCTATCGCTTCTTGAAAATCCACCATTTCCAGTACTTGTTTTTGGCCAACATTCTTTTGTTGATGGTGAATATGCAAAAGCCTTACATCCTGAAGTTGTCTGGCATTTTACGCAACAACTAGCATAATCCGATACTTGCACAGGTGACGATAATATATCATTTCCAGGAATGTCCCAATCGTCTTTACGTATAAAACCACCACACATGTTTGCTATGAAAACATAAATAACAGAATAATTTCAATATGATTTATTTTGCCAAAAAACGAGAAGAGTTTTTGTTTATAAACGATTTTCAGGTTGAATAGATAAAAACTAAATTTTCTCAAAAAAACGATCAAGCATTCCAGATTTCTTGGTACAAAACCTGCAGAAAATTTCAATCAACCGTTAAAGTTTTAAGTGTTTCTTACAAACTTCCTCTTCCTACAAAATCTAAAAAAATATTCTGAAAAAGAGATTCTCGT